ATACGATGGTGTTAATTTACTCTATTCTATGGTAAATACTCTATTACCCTTCACGGAGACGCTTGATCAAGTGTGCGCTTCATTAAATACGACTCTATCCTATGGCAAATACTCTATTACCCTTCACGGAGACGCTTGATCAAGTGTGCGCTTTATGAAATACGGATGGTTGTTATGGACGTCATAATTTATTACTTTGAATTTGAAATTTAATCGACAGTAATAACAGAACATTCAGTATAATAAATTAGATAACACATATCTGAGAGGGTGATAGAGCAGATTGCTACCCCTCGAAAAGACATTGTCAACCTTGGCTTCGCCTCAGTTGACAATGTTTTCTCGGAGTAACAATCTGCTCTATCACCCCATCAGCTATGTGTTATTTATATAATATTGTGTTTCGCGATAATGGATGGGGTCAAGATGTCACATTCTGTTTTTTAAACCTTTGCAATTACTTAACGTTATTGCCCACTTTTAAAATTTAACCAACATACATTATAGGTCAACGTATACGTATGATTAGTACACTTGTTAAACTCATTAAGTTTTCGCTAAAGTGGGCCATCGAAAATACCATGTGAAGGGATAAAGCAAACGTTAAAGTGGACAATAATGTAGGCGCTAAAATGTCAACTAGAAGGTAAGAGCAATGCGCTAGAACGTTATGGATACCACGCAACAGTAACATTTTGAGAATAAATTGGTGATGTCGAGATTATACCATTACCACTGAGAATATACAGGGTAGAATGAACGCATGGGTACGCAACAAGATTCGGATATTGAATTTAAACTGGTTTTGACGAGATTGAAAAAATGTTGATAAACCACACGTTGAATAAATTTCTTTCGGTGTAGTATCCATATCCATAAGGGACATTGTATGCAACCTTTCCCGTTATATCACCATAGAAACAGATTCAACCACAATAGTCATCTTCTCTCGATAGTAAAAGTTTCAAATTTTAAAAATCTCGATTAATCAGGCATTTTAAAGTTTGAAAATGTAATTATTCAGAGTAGATAAATATCGTAGTCAACAAGGTTCAATGGTTGAATCTATATCAATAAAAATGGAAAACAAATTCAATTTTGAATGTGAAAGAGGTGTTGGAGGTTAATAGTTATGAATTTACAAATCAGTAATTAATTGATTCGTAAGTCCAAAGTCCTCTTTACATAAATAACTTCAAAGTCCCCTTTACATAAATAACGTAACACAATTAATGAATCAAAAGACAACGGGTTTTCTTTTGATAATAATGACAATCAACCATCGTATCATTTTTGCATGCGTGTGGCTTTTTTGTTGTTGTTTGGGGGGGGGGAGGGGATTGGGGTGGCCTATTAAATATTTTTTATATATCATTTGGCAATATTTGTTTCTTTCTAGGAGTGAGTTATGGTCCGGAACACAAACGAATCTAGCTAAAGTTTAAATTTATATAATATATATATTGAACAACTATTTTTCCTATATTTCCCTAAACAAACATAAAAGAAAGAAAGGATACATAACCACTGTAGTACGATTACATTATTTTACGAATGTAACATACATAATTAAATGTTGACATTCAAGTGTCTATTTTAATCTCTTTGTGTTGTTAGATTGCTGTCAAATTTAATTTAACGTAAATGTATTTTCATATCTAAGCGCCTCAAATCTTGACATGTTGTGAATGAGATTTACAGAGGCAGCCAAACATCTGAAACCAATACGCGATGTCTAGATATTAACTTGGGAAATTCGAAAAATGTAATTTACGATATGGTTTTACTATTACAATGTATATGCAATCATACCGAGAATTTTAATCAAAAAATCGTATTGACAGGATTATTCATTCGAACTTTTTATACAATTCCAGAATTCGATGGTATAAAAACAACCACTAACAAGCCTTAGAATAAAAAACAGACATTTGAAAAAAATAATGACAAAAAAATGAAAACAAACCACTAGAGACTCATAAGAAACCCGAATCGCTCATCTCACAAAATATGCCATATTAATTAACGTAAAAAATTCAGGATAAAAAATATTTACAAAAGCTTCCCGGACAATAAAATGAACCAACACCGGTGTGTCCTACAAACATTAACAACCAATAAAATGATATGTTAGTTGTATGCAGACTGCTGTTAAGTTTCTTTCTATCATATATTGTCTTCGAGATAATTTAAACTCTCCAAGAACGCTTAAATTCATAATAGTCATTATCAAAGGGCAATCGATCGAATAAGGAAACGTTTGAGAGTTTTAATGGAAACATGTTGTTGTCCGAGCATTGAACTGCGTATCTGCTACAAGTTTAAAGATGTTAGACAATAAAACTTGCATCTCAACCCTATGTTCTAATGTAAGTTATGGTGGCAATGTTAGTAAGAATATCGTAAGATAATTCACATATTACTTATATGTTAACACAGTATGAATCTTTTACGTCATGTTCCGTTAAAATAATTATGTTCTGTTGTTTAAGTGGTGATCATACAGTTTATTTTATAGTTTTTACGATATACTATCTTGTATGGCTGATCATTCTGGTATTAAAAGTTTTTATTTATACATAATAGCATTCAAGACGAGATGATGATGGATGGCCGTTTAACTTCTAAGCTATTAATTAAATACATACACATTCAAGATGAGCACATGCTAATGCGATATAAATAGTCGAACTTTCTTTGTACTAGATTGACACGCTCAGCCGGATTTGTAAGGTACCAGTTCACAAGGTAACATTAGTCTTTGCTTTTACCTTTTTTCAATGCCGCGTGCTTAGCGAAGAAACAGCAAATACCAATTTTTAAAGTCTTTGAAGAGCAACATCTCCAAAAACAAGTCAATTAATAGTTCCAGTCAAAACGTTTTTAAAACTATATCGGGCTGCAAAGTTTGCTGTATATAGTTTCTTTCTATGGAAGCAATCATGATTATACGCAGAAATACTTAAATTAGTCGAGCAGAATAAATTATATAAGATGTCAATTGGTTGTATCAGTCATATTACCATACCATGTTTGTACACCTTGTACTTGTAAAATACTGATTCATTTTATATTGCGTTAGAATTAAAAACAAAATGTGTTGCTTTTTACAGTTTTTAAAAACTTTGTCTATCTATCATAGTGGTAAGGATATTATACTAAACTTCTTGACTTGGTAAATAATTCTTCAGTTGAGGGAATTACTCGTAAACGGAGTTGGTTAATGGTTTAGTCATATTAATATTTTTGTGGATGTTGTGTGTTTGCCGATAACTTTTGCTGTCAAAAGTATCTATCTATCTTAATTATATTTTGTTACTTCTTTAACGAGTAAGTTGATTGTTTCAGACATATTGGTACTTCAAATGATCTCGTAAAACTGGACGATTTTATTGAAAAAGTTTCTTTTTTAATAATGATTTTTGATTAAAATTCACCTCAAAAGCTAACAAAACCTTTAAACAGACTTATTAAGAAGGGATATAGTTACGATACTGTTGTCAGGTCATTGAAGATTGCATATTTTGGCTTTAATATTGATTCACTTGTAGGGTCTTTGCATCGGAATTAAACATATTTATTCTAAAACCAGTTGTTGGCATGACACGGGTTATGTTCTTCTCATATATTTTATGATGGTATAATACTAAACTCATAACAGGAGGGATTGTGCCTGATATTCATATGATTAAGACATAATCTTTCAATCAGTTTAATTGAGGTCTGGAGCTGGTATGTCAGTAACTGCTAGTAGTCTGTTGTTATTTATGTATTATTGTCATTTTGTTTATTTTCTTTTGTTTCCTATTCTGTCTTTTATTAAATGACAAAATCAAAAGCTCAAACACATCAAACGAATGGAAAACAACTGCCATATTCCTTGTGTAGAAAATGGTGGATTAAATTATCTATATTTCAAGATAACTGACAAATACTCTCAAATTTGTAAATTTAAAGCTAATAAATCGCAGAAGGGGTCAATTAATGGTTTGAACTTGAACGCATTTTTGTAGATATGTAGTTATCAATCTAGCTGGTCACAGGTTGTGCCTTTTTTGTGTGTAATTTTTGTTCAAAAAGCTTATAATTGATTAAAAACGTCACATGAAGGCAAACTAATTCATATTAGGTGTCGTATGACAATTTTAAGGTACATAAAGGGTATATATATCTTTGCATTGATTCTAAACATAAAATTTGCTGTACTTAATATGGTTTTAAGAATCTTACTTGGATTTTACCGTTATTCATTATTTTTAGCAATGTCGATCTTGTTTGTTGATGGAACAAAATAATATTAACAAATGTATCATAAACACCCTATATGAATTAATTCTTTGAAGTTTTAATTGTTTTTTTTTTTACGGATAAACGACGTTTTATACACTTATAACCTTATACTTGCCTTCGGTCAGATTAGTTAAAAATGACATGTGGTAGTATTGCCAATAAGACAACTATCCAACAGACTTAAAAAGAAGTAGTAGTAAGCAGTTATAGGCCATCGTACGGACTTCAACAATGAATGAAACGCATACCGTCTAGTCGGCTAAAAGAGGCCCCGACATGATAAATGTGAAACCCAAACGAGAAAACTAACGGCCTAATTTATACAAAACAATTTACGAAAAACAAATACGACAGACATGAACCAACGACAACCACTGTACTACAGGCTCCTGACTTGAAACATGTACATACAAAATGTGGCGGGGTTAAACATGTTTGTATACGCTCAACCCTCCACTAACCTGGAACAGTAGTGTAACAGTACAGTATAAGAAACAACTGTAAAAATCATTTGCAATTTGCCTAACTCAAAAGATTGGTACGGGGCACAAAAACAACTTATTACATATAATCAATAGACACAAAGCAACGAAATAAGAGTACTCACAGTTACTGAAAGCTAGTTGAAAGCCAACACAACTAGTAAATGAATCAAGTTCGCTAAGAGAAAAGACCTTCTTTTATCTCAGATAAAGAAAAAAAAAACTTACCTGAGGTAAACTAAATAAGGCACTGAGTATCCAAGATATAATTATCATGATTTTAACTCGTTTTGGAGCTTTGTGACGACTTATAGGGTCCATAATCACGCAACATCGGTCCAGACTGATCACAACTATAATATATGTGGACGCAAGTAAACCAGTTGCTGTACCAAATTTTACTATTTTACACATAACGTTTCCGGCTAACCACTGGACTGTTGAAGCCCAAACCGCATCTACTCCCATTATAAAAAATGTAATTAACAAATCGGCCACTGCCAAATTGACAATTAATGTATTTATTGTTGATCTTCTCTTCCGTATTCTGTACATTTGGATGATGGTTGCTGTGTTTCCTATCAGGGCCATTAGAAACAGGAGACCAAATATAATAGTCCTTGTCATAAATGCTTCATTGAATGTTGGTGGCTGTTCTGTTCTAAGTGGCCATTTTGAACTTGTAATAAATGTAACGTTTTCATTAAAAATACTCGTAACATTGTACGTAAAATTCCTATCCATGGCACTTGAATGAAGAACTTTTTCTTTAAAATTGATCAAATACTCTTCCCAAAGAAAACATGTTATGTAAAACTAATCAAAGTTTTCTAACAGAAGTTGTAGAATTTCTCAATGTTGGATGGATCTTTTACTTTTAGTGAATACGTTTTCTTCTTTAAGTTATCACACTTAGATTCTAAATCCGATCAATATGCTTTAGATAATAAAAAGAGGAAATAAAATATCCTGTATGTTAAATCATATTTATATTCTTACACTATGACAAGCCATTGATTCGCTACTTAGTTTTATTTTCCGTATAAGGCTTATGTATAACGTTATTGGTCAAATCCTATAGCAGCTGCTTGATTGACATAAACCACGTTATTTCATGCCAGTTAATTAGAGATCAACTGTATGATCAAACAAACGAACAACGAACAATAAAACACCTAACACGATGTGTTTCCAATGTCACTACTAGAAAGTTTGATTTAAACATTACAGTTAGTAATTGTCTCTTGTGATATTTATATAAATGTGTGAATGAAGAACGGCCATCTTATTATAATTAAAGTTTGCAACAATACAAGGACAAACAATAAACAGCCTCGATTACCGAAGAAAAATATTTCAAAACGTCCGGTAAATTTGTTGTTAGGCGAAAGTATTTCTTATTATATTAGACGTGCGGAGTAAAACAACCTTTGTTATGACTGTTACTTTCATGTTATGGATATAAAAAAGATGGACATGATTGCTAAGGTGACGACTATCCGACATGAATGTATTTATTTTTCACACTTATGATGATCATAGAGTCTCGGATGTTAACGTACGTAACAATCACACCAAACTTTACCGATCTAAGCAATTGGTTAAACACTTTTAATAAAATTATAAAAAATCAAGGGTGTTATTTTGGAAGTAAGATATTTACATCTCACGACAGGAACCTGTATTTTTTCAATATCAAAATTCTATGCCATATGAAAAAACGAAACGTGAAAATTCATCAATTCTAGATCTGTTTCATTCCGAGTACCCAATCCGCTATATTACGAAGCACTGAGTTGTAGCTTTGTCAAATATTAAACTTTGTAAATCTTTTATCATATATTTACAAAGATTTAATTAAAATATAGGTTATGGGTGTATTTTATATAGTCTGAAACGGATTTTGACAAGACTTGTTCTAATATCAAAAACTAAAGGCCATAAAGAGCCTGTGTCGCTCACCTGGATCTATGGACTAAAATCCCTTTTTTGTTGATCATGTCTTGCTGATTTATACGGTTTGCAGAAAGCTAATGAACCAGGGTTATGTCAAAGAACGTCTCGTCCTTATTCTGAAAAAGTTCAACAGAAGATACCAAGACCTTGTTGATAAATATTCCGTATCAACTTCGCAAGTAATACATGATGGTCTTGAAGTATAGATTCTAGGTACAGACGTTGTTTATCATCTTAATTACGTGTACAAGTGTTCTTTCATTTGTCTTTGTAAATGATTAACCTTAACTGTTTTATCCATTTTTAGTTATATCCTTTTGGTGTGGCTCGGTACTTATGCATCCCGCCAATGAGTTGTTGTGTGCTGTGGTCAATTGTTGTATTCTTGTCTTTCATTTTTGCTTTTGTGCTTTGTCTATATGCCATTTTGTTTTTCTTTGTTGACATATTTGTTTGTTTTTTTATAGTGATTAAGTTTATAACACAATGTTGACTGCTTTACCCCTAATTTTGACATTTTTACCTATTATGTCTGTTTGTTTTGTTCACACATTGTTGTCAATATAATGGAATTTTATGCGACTGTCATACAAGTGAGAGGTTTAGCAAGCTATAAAACCAGGTTTAATCCACCATTTTCTGCATAAGGAAATGTCTGTACCAAGTCAGGAATATGACGGTTGATATCCATTCGTTTGATGTGTTTGAGCTTTTGATTTTGACATTTGAGAAGGGACTTTCCGATTAAATTTTTCCTTGGAGTTTGGTATTTTTGTTATTTTGCCCAAAATGAAAAAAAAAGGTGAAAAAAATTGCCATTTAAGTGCCATTCTCCTATATGGAGTCGACTGACAATTACAGCAGAGACACACAACACTTGATCCTGACAAGTGAAAGTGTTTTTTTTCAACAATAAGTAACAAGTAAGAACGGAAGAGATTGTTTCAGTGAAAATTGTAACCTTTGACTTTTGTCGTCACGTAATAAAATATTAGAGCAGTCGTAAAATGTAAAGTGCAGTAACATATATAACGGTCTTACATAAGCGTCTCCTATCTGGCATTATACCCATGCTTAAGAGGGATGGATGTCTGTTTGGATCTTTGGTATGGATGTCTGTTTGGCTCTCTGGGATGCATAAATACGCAGCCACGTCTGGTCAGCTTTGGGACGACAAAACTGGGCGTATCGAACTATCTGCACATAAACTCCTGGCAACTATTATTTTGCAGGATCTGTGGGGAGGTCTGTTGCAAGTAAAAACGTCCTTATCTAAAATAACACAAATTTCCCAGTGGCAGTCTTAACATTTTCGGCCTTTCATCCAGTTGTACTCGTTTGTAGAACCTTTCTTTTCATTTTTGGTGATTGAAATCAAGTCTATATTTTAAATAAATATAAATTGCACATTGTGTAAATTTAAAATAAAAGTTTATTATTTTGGTGCGTGCGAATCCCTTTTTGTGGATTAACCTTCTTCAAAAACACTCAAACCAAAATATGTGAGAGCCAAGGATGTAAAAAAAAAAAAACTTAAAAAAGGTGAGTTTTGTGAGCAGATAATACTGGTTTAACTCTTCAACATGTTGTGCTTGTACCACTTAAGATTATCTGGTCCATTTGTTTGTATGTCTGAATTTTCGGAGGAATCATGTATAATTGATGGTTGATGTGGTCTGTTGTGTTATGCGGTATGTTTTGTGATCCCGCTCATCCCTATTTATATATAATGTATAATATATTGGTAAACACTTTAAACTATTTTACTTACGCATATGTTTAGTTTAACTACATGTACAATGTACATGTATATGGTTGAACAATACAGTCTTGTTTTTAATTTGTGGTATGATAGATAAGGTCTGCACTTTGGTCCGATTATTTCCGATATTGCAAAACTGCTTGAAGGATGCACCATTTTAAACTGCATGATTAATCTACTAATGATATACTTAAAGAAAATTTGATTACTCTTAACAAATCTAACATCAACACGTGTTTATTAGCGCAGCCTTATCCAGAAACCTCATCTAGACGTATAGCTGCCGATTTATAAATGTGTGTGTGTATTTACGGAATTTTCTATTTACTTAATGTTTAATCTTGATCTTGAACGGACTTTTTCTGAAAAACAAATTTAAAGGTTGTATAGTAATTGTCTAGAACTTTTATTATGATTTGGAATCGTGTTCATTGTTGTAGTTCGTAAACTGATCTCTAATTGTCTGTGTTTCTTGGACTGCCTGATCGTGGTTTACCCGTAAGCTTTATAATTTATTCATCTTCACAGAAATTTGAAAAACAAAAATAAGACGAAATATCATCAAAGCTTTTTTTTCTTTTTTTAACAATTTCGCGCACTTAACAGCCCCGAGTGCACACAAAGATCAAAACTATATCTCCTTAGGGAGAAAAAAAAAATATGTTAAATACATCAACGAAGGTTATTTATAATTGAGTACAGATAGACTACAACTATGGCAGACAGATTATTTTTTTGTATCTTATATTGCAGACACTGGACAACTAAGATAAACATTTAATTCTAACAAAAGCCAACAAAGACAACGTTGATAACATTGTAATCTTATTATACACTAAAGGCGGCCAAGATTAAATTATAGGATAAAATGAGTTTAACAGTTATATGCTCTCACGCGTCACTGGTTATAAAGCTTGATGGTATCAAATGCAGACATTTGAAACGTTATCCCTAAAATGTTCGAAGAAAGTGAGATGCTACTCTTCAGATTATTAAAATTGAGTTTAAACTTAACTAAAAATCAAAAGTAATTAAAAACCAATTGTTTAGAGAACAATTGAAGGTCTTTCCACATTACACATCTACATAATTGATAAAAAGCTATTTCCAGGTTTACTCTGAGCGTCACTGATGAGTCTTATGTAGACGAAACGCGCGTCTGGCGTATTAAATTATAATCCTGGTACCTTCGATAACTATTTACTAAAAGTTACTATTGGCATCCGTTCATACTCATTTAAAAAAATATATGGTTTCTACATGCTTTTGACTTAAATATGGGAGATAATTTGCTACTTCCAGTTAAGAAAATGTCATTTCCGGTCTCATATGATAGCTTACTTACCATTGATTCCGAAAATATGTGGTTTCTATATACTTTCCATTCAAATGAGGGAGATAATTAGCTACTTCCGGTTTACAGAAGGCGATTTCTGGTTTCATTAAAAGGTTATTGTATGCTGATTCTATAAATATATAGTTTCGCAGTATTTTTTCATTGGATAAGTGCAAAAATAGCTACTTCCTGTTTGCAAAAGGTCACTTCCGGTGTGATATTTTTCAAGGTCATGTGTCACTCAACCCTTTGCAAAAGACACTATGGCTTTATCATGTACCAGAATTAAGTTATATTCGATTAACACTTAATTTCAACATTTTAGGGGCAATAAATACAAGATATTATCAGATCACTTCGGACTGATGTGCCATTTCTTCGTCTCAACAACCCAAACATTTAGCATCAGTTGTTTTATGTTTAGCTTTTATAGTATAAGATAGGATGCACACACAAGCAAAGGACGAACACCGGTTTTCGCCCTGTTCGATCCACTTTAAAACCACACCTATTAGAATATATGTTGATATTGTCTTTCGTCTTGAATATGCATGAAACAATTGATATTCTTTTTCCACGGTCGACTATTTCAATAAATTTTATTATGTCGCGAATCTCCATTAATTTATCTACACAACGGAATATTAATACAACACACATATCTTTGCTGTCTGAACTAATTCA